TCTCTGCTGAAATTCTCCATCTGTTCTTACATGTAGTCTATGTTTTACCCTTGATGATTTAACTTATTAATCTTAGTTATTTTATTTGTTTATTCATTTGAAGCCTTACATCCCCCACATGATTCAATGCTTTAGTCCATTCTGAATGTAACTGTTATTCTAAATTTAACATTTATCATTCCTATGCTTTTATTTATGAATTTACCACACATGTCCCCCCAATCATTTGGCACATCTCTTAACTTCTCTTACATATTTGCTACTTTTTAAACTCTTTGGGGCATTTAGGATATTTTCTTTGGATCTGCCTTCTGATTTCTCTAATTCTCTCTTCTGCTGTGTCTAATATTCTCTTTAAGTTTTCAACTAAATTTTTAATTTTTATTACTTGATTTTTTTTATTTCTAGGAGTTTTCGTTGTTTCCCTCAAGTCTGTTTGTTTCTTCTATTTTAATAGATTCTTGCTCTGTTCTCATATTTATAGTTCTGTCTTTTATTTCTTTAAACATATTAACTTGGTGTTTTTCTTTTATAGGAATGCTGTACATTACATTCCCCAACTCATTTGTCTTATAACTGGAAGTTTGTAAGTTTTGACCACCTTCACCCATTTCACCCACCCCCTGCCCCCACCTCTGGAATTATTATTATTATTATCATTAATATTATTTTGATTCCACATATAAGTGAGATCATAGAGTACAGTTGACCCTTGAACAACATGAGCTTGAATTGCATGGATTTTTTTTAAAAATACAGTACAGTAATGTAAATGTATTTTCTCTTCCTCATGGTTTTTAAATAACATTTTTTCTCTAGCTTACTTTATTGTATGACTACAGCATATAATACATTAACATACAACATATATGTTAATTGACTATATTATCAGTAATGATTCTGGTCAACAGTAGGCTATTAGTAGTTAAGCTTTTGGGGAGTCAAAAGTTATATGTGAATTTCTGACTTGCAGGGGGTCAGTGCTCCTAACCCCCACATTGTTCAAGGTCAACTGTATTTGCCTTTCTCTGTCTGACTTATTTTACTCATCATAGTTGTTTTACTGTTTCTGTCTGATAGCTCTAACATCTGGGTCATTTTTGAGTTCAGTTTTGTTGAGCTTTGAGTCTAGCTTTGTCCCTTGTCAATAGATTGATCTTTTTTCCTTGCTTTTTTCTATGTCTTCTAATTTTTTATTGAATATCAGATATCATGTATTGATTGAAATGGACATAAACAGTGTTTCCTCCGGGAAATGGGTGAGTCTCTTCTGTCAGGTCATCATTGTGGTAGGGGAAGTTTGGATCAACCTACTCAGATGTTGACCCTGGTTTGGGTTTTGTTGTTATTGTGATGACCTCCAAGGTACCTAAGACTTTGGATTCCCTTGTGGTGGGTTTCCAGGCATGTACTTCAGGCCAGGGCTAGAGACACAGTGCTCTTGCTCTGCCCTAAGTTTTCAGCTCTCTCTGTGTGCCTGGTACACGGAGGGGACCTCTACACAGGCCTGCCTCCCCCAGGGATTGCCACTGCTCCTGCAGGTGTACCAGTCAGGCTGAGGTGGGAACAGGAAGACTCTGTTGTCCTGGCCCTGGGTCAGTCTTATTTTTTTATTTTTTATTTTTTAAATATATTTTATTTATTTATTTGAGAGAGAGAGAGCACGTGCAAGCGAGAGAGCACAAGCAGGGGGAGCAGCAGAGGGAGAGGGAGAAGCAGACTCCCCATTGAACAAGGAGCCTTATGTAGAGCTTGATCCCAGGACCCTGAGATCATGACCTAAGCTGAAGGCAGACGCTTCACCTACTGAGCCACCCAGGTGTCCTGGCCCTGGGTCAGTCTTGAGCAGGGCCTATGTGCCTGGGTCTTGGAGGGTGAGGCTTTCTCACTTCCTGCTACTCTTCCTGGCAATGGCCAGACTCCACTTTGTAGTTGGGGTGGGTTTGTGTGAGCTTTCCCTGCCCTCCCTGTCATAGCGCTCCAATTCCCATCCCCTATTCAGTGCGGGTAGTTTTTCCTCTGCCCTTCCCCAACTACAAATGAGTCTCAGGTGGTGGATGTGGGGAGGGAACCTTCCCCCTGCACCCTCCAAGGACCCCTCACCTCCAGCTGAGCAATTGGAGAGAGGGCTCTTTGAGGAGGGGCTGCTCTGCTTATGGCTGCATATGTCTTCAAGAAAAGAACTTAAAAATACATGAAGATAAACCAGAAGGACAAGCTGTATCAGGAAAGCATGGTTTATTTGGCTCACACAGGGTTGGTTCCCTGCTGGAGACAGAGGACCCCGGAAACCAGGGCCTCCCAGAGGGTACAGGCAGGGTCACAGAGGGTTCCAGATCATCCTGCTACATCCTTGCCACAGACTTCAGAGGGTCCGTTGGGCATGTTCTTCATCTGCCCTGTGCAGAACCTGGAGGCCACTGAAGACTTGTTCCAGGAGGGGAGCAGGTGTGGCCCCCTGTGCCCTGGGAGCAGCTGGGTGGGAGGCTCATGGTCAGAAGCAGGACGGGGTGCTACAAGAGATGGGTCTGCAGAGCAGGGTGGGGTGGGAGGGCTGGCAGCCCCCGGAGGACTGGCAGGAGGGGGCCATGAACACGAGGGGCTTGTAGCTCACGGGCAGGCAAACAGAGGACTGGCAGGAGGGGACCACATACACGGCGGGCTTGCAGCTCACGGGCACGGACACGGCGGGCTGGCAGCTCACGGGCACGTAGCAGGACGCCTGGCAGGAGCTGGGGGTGCAGCAGGACGCCTGGCAGCCCGTGGAGCAGCTGGTGAAGCTCATGGTGGTGTGGGGCTGGAGTGGAGTCAGGGAGGAGGGCGGTGATGTCTGGAGGCTCCTTCCCCGGGCAGCCTTTATACCCGGGCTCTAGGCGTCCGGGCAACACAGAAGCACAACTTGTTGACTTCCTCATAGTTGTTTCCACCATGTTTCCCCCAACATCTGTGGGACGCACTCTCCTGTGTTATGCTCCACTATAACACATTTAGCTTAGAGGCCAATTTCTTCTTCTGTAAACAGGATCTTCTGGTTTGCCTGTGCGTGGGGTTCGTGCTATTTCTCCAGGCCAGTAATGTGCACATAACATCACGCTCCACTCAGGACCGCGTCCTTTATTCCTTTTCGTCTCATGCCCTTCAGTGGTGACTTCGAGGCAGTGATGCATTTTGAGCTTTTATTTTGTATAGGAAAGCATTAAACTAGCGATCTGTAAACTGGGAAGCAGGGAAGTCTGTGGGACAAACCTGGCTTGCTTCTTGTTTTGTAAATAAAGTTTTATTGGAAACAGCCATGCTCATTTGCTTACGTATTGTCTAGGGCTTGCACTATAATGCAGAGTGGTTATGAGAGAGACCATGCCCCTGCAAAGCCTGAAATATTTAATATTTTCCCTTTATAGAAAGGTGACCAACTTCTGCCTCCTAGTAATCTATACAATAATGGATTTGTTCATGCAACAAATATATATTGTGTGTTGGCTACAGAGACATCCTAGGCTCGTGAGCCTTGTGGGGCAATGAATAAATGAGAGCATGAAAGTTAATGCATGAAATGATTCCAGAGCAGTCTGAGTCCCGGAAAGGAAAACAGGTTCAACAGGTAGAGAGGAATAGGGGTGCTGGCGAGTGGTTTGAGGACCTCTGTGTGGAGGCGATGCTGAGCTGGCATGTGGGTGACATGGATGGGGCAGGGGTGGTGTTCCAAGCAGAAGCAGCCATGGGGGCGTGAGGACACTGCTGCAGAAATGGGCATGTTCCTGGAACAGTGGGAAATCCTGCAGTGTAGGCGCTGGGTCACAGGTGCAGGTGGTCAAGTGCAGACCACACAGCTTGAGTCCAAGCATCACAGTCCCGGGCCAACAGAATAAGAAAGACTGTCAATACGAAGACACATCAGTAGGAATTACCCAATCTGAAAAAGAGAGAACAAAATTAAGAATCATGAAGAGGGTCTATGGACAATATCAAGAAGTCTAATAATAAGCAATTTTAACCCAAGGAGGAGAAGAGAATGATATTGAAGCATAAAAAATGGACAAAATTCCCAATTTTTTTAAAGTAGGCTCCATGCCCAGCGTGGAGCCCAGTTCAGGGCTTGAACTCACTACCCTGAGATCAAGACCTGAGCTGAGATCAAGAGTTGGATGCCCAGCCGACTGGGCCACTCAGGCACACCCCCCAAATTTGTTTTTTTAATTCTAACTTACAGACCCAAGAGTCTCAGAAAACCCCTAAAGCCCCAGCATAATTTGGCACAATGGTAAAGACCACAGACTCCAGAGTGAAACTGAGCAGCTTCAATTTCTGCTTCTTCACCCCAGTGGTGCGAGCACACAAACATCATGGAATCTAACTGCGCCTCCATGTAAGAGGGGTATCACCTACCCCTTGGATGGCGGCAAGGATTGGTGACTAGTCAGTGATGAGCTGATCCAGGTAAAAGGCTTAGCACGGTGCCGGGCACAAAGCTGGGACTGGATGACATGGTGGATGACATGGCCACGGCTGTCCCCAGTGAGGAGCCCAGCTGCTTGGCTCTGGTCCATTGGGAAGACCTTCTGGATCACGGAGTTTCCAAATCAAAATGGGGGACCCCTGGTCTGGCGAGCAGGATGGTGCTTATGTGGACAGAGGACAGGGTATGTAAGCTGGGGGAGGACCTTGAACATCCTGATGTGGGGTCTCCTATCCCCCGCTGATGGTCCTTCACCATCCAACCTGGGCTCTGAGTCCAGAAATCACAGGCCTGCTGGGTCGTACTGAGCCTCCAGCTGTTGCAGTTTCCTGAACCGAGTCACTTCCCCCAGAAACTCCAGGAAGAGACGCACAGAGGAGGAGGAGGAGGAGGAGGAGGAGGCAAACAATCAGGCAACCAGGAGGAAGGCACCTGTGTGGCTTGTTGCCAGGATGCCACAGCCCGGGTATAAAGGCTGCCTGGGGAAGGAACCTCCAGACCAGCCCTGTCCTCCACCCTGACTCCACTCCAGCCCCACACCGCCATGTACTTCACCAGCTGCTCCACGGGCTGCCAGCCGGCCAGCTGCACCCCCAGCTCCTGCCAGACATCCTGCTGTGTGCCCGTGAGCTGCCAGACGTCCTGCTGTACCCCCAGCTCCTGCCAGACGTCCTGCTACGTGCCCAGTCCCTGCCAGGTGACCTGCTGCGTGCCTGTGAGCTGCCAGACGTCCTGCTGCACCCCCAGCCCCTGCCAGACGTCCTGCTGCGTGCCCATGAGCTACAAGCCTGCTGTGTGCCTGCCCGTGAGCTGCAAGCCAGTTGTGTGCCTTCCCGTGAGCTACAAGCCCATTGTGTATGTGGCCCCCTCCTGCCAGTCCTCAGGGGGCTGCCAGCCCTCCTGCCCCACCCTGGTCTGCAGGCCTGTCCCCTGTGGCATCCCTAATTGCAGCTGAGCCCATGGCCTCCTAGGACCCCTCCTCTGTGCGGTCAGAAGTGGCTGCTCTCCGAACTCCTACCAGGCGGCCCAGACATCATCCACTTCAGACCTTCTGGACCCGGCTGACCATCTTACAGCTAACCAGGCAGAGAGTCACCCCCAGTGTCCCTGGCCCTGGCCTGGGCCATTCACCCAGCACCCACCTGGCTGGTGCGGAGTGCCCAGGCTCGCAGCCACCAACACAAAGGTCTAATAAATCCCAGAGTGCATTCGAAGTCCCCCCGAGTGTGTGTGGTGTCCCTTAGCGCCTTTCCCTAAACTGCTTCCTCCAGGGGGAGCTCCCAGAATCCAGGAAAGCTCCCTCTGCGGAGAAGCCACAGGTTACCAGATGGCGGTGCACAGGGCACTGAGCACTCAAAGGTGGCCTCTTGGGCGAGTGGGCGCTCCTAGCTCAGCCTGACGGGCCCCCAGGGCTTCCTTTGTCCCACTTTGTCCCTTGAACCAGTGAGGTTATTTCTTACTCTGCTGGGTGGGACTGAGGGCGAATCCCTAACTTTCTGATCTGACCCCTTTTAGGTAAAAAGGTCTCCTGCTCAGCAATTAATATGCGAAGCCAACCTGGTCTAAAAATTAAAAGTGTACGCTCCCTAGGGGCGCCTGGGTGGCTCAGTTGGTTAAGTGACTGCCTTCGGCTCAGGTCATGATCCTGGAGTCCTGGGATCGAGTCCCACATCAGGCTCCCTGCTGAGCAGGGAGTCTACTTCTCCCTCTGACCCTCCCCCCTCTCATGTGCTCTCTCTCTCATTCTCTCTCTCTCAAATAAATAAATAAAATCTTTAAAAAAAAAAAAAAGAGTTGGAGGGGCGCCTGGGTGGCTCAGTTGGTTAAGCGACTGCCTTCGGCTCAGGTCGTGATCCTGGAGTCCCGGGATCGAGTCCCGCATCAGGCTCCCTGCTCGGCAGGGAGTCTGCTTCTCCCTCTGACCCTCCTCCCTCTCATGCTCTCTGTCTCTCATTCTCTCTCTCGCAAATAAATAAAAAATTTAAAAAAAAAAAGTGTACTCTCCCTAGAAGAGTATACCTCCTCCTCCTCCCATTCGGGGGGACAGGGCTTTGTGGGTAACTTCGTGGCCCTGGAGATGTCCACGTCCTCATCCCCACAACTGGTGGATACAGCCCTACAGGCGAGGCGGCGTCCCAGACGGGGTGGACTGAGGGTCTTGCAATGGGAGCCGTCCTGGATTGGCCGGGTGGGCTCGCGTCATCCCAGGGATTGGGGAGGAGGGAGAGGAAGGGCTGCCGCGGAAGACGAGGCCGTGGGAAGCGGGGCACCGTGCTGTGGGCTTGGAGCACCGTCCCCTCCGACTGGCTCTCTCCCGGGCAAAGGTAGCCGCTGACCGTGTAGACGCCCCGTCTATGAGCAGTCCAACTGACCTTGTAGATGCCCCACGGGGCAGGTGGTCCGCTAGCGGCTGGGCGGGACAGCGAGCAGGCTGAGCGGGCGCTGCGGGAGGACCCGGCCCGGCCACACCTTGGTTTTAGCCCCTGAGGCCGCTCCAGACTCTGGCCTCCGGGCCGGCAGAGTCTGCTGGAGCTGCCGCAGCCACCGGGGGTGCCGTCTGTGTCCGGGCCACGGCACAGACCCAGCTCGGTCGCACGGCCCCGGACGGCCGCCCTCCTGGGTGCTCCCGCGGGGAGCCTGCACTGTTCCGGGCCGGGAAACTGGCCCGGAAACCAGACCTGCCCCTGACAGCGTGGGCTTAGCCCCTGTGGTGTGACCACGGGCCACCCAAGAGCAAGGGCGCTGGGGCCGCCCCGGAGACGGGCGGGAGGCACGCAGAGAGGGACGGTCATCAGCACAAGGGAGCCGAGGCCCACCAGGGCGCGGGGGGAGCTGCGTGAGAACCAGGAGTCTAAGGGGAGCGCCATCAAGGGGGTCCTTCCTGCGGCAGGACCACGTATCCACGCATCTGGAAACATCCATGATCGTGAGGTCGGGGTTATAAGGATGGGGATTCAGCAGGGACTCCCAGAGCACCTCCCGTGCGCGGCTCCTCCCCACCCTTGGTCCCACGCACAGGCCACCACCGGCCGCCGGTCTCACCACCAGGGGTGTCCAGCACCTGCGCGTCACGCCCTGGCCTTGCAGACACCCTCCCTCCAGGCGCCCCCGCGGCCACGGCTCCAACCACCGGACAGCGGGGGGCCTGCCCCGTCTCCCCAGTGATGCCTCTGAGGGCGGGGACCATCCCAGCCTCAGGCACGTTGGCTGACGGGGTGTGCGGGTCTGGGGATCCCACAGAAGGGCTCACCGACATCGACAATTTAGCCTTGTCGCCAAACTATGAGCCCGCGTTAAAGAAGCTTCCCAAGTAAAGACCCCGTCACCTCTGACTTCACCATCTCCACCGCTGGGCAATGGTGGCCGGCTGACTGCGTAGACGCGCTGTCTGTGAGCAGCCTGGCTGACTGTGTAGACACCCGACTGTGAGCAGTCTGGCTGACTGCGTAGATGCCCCAGCCTGGAGCAGTCCAGCTGACTGTGTAGACACACCCTGTCTGTGAGCAGTCCGGCTGACTGCATAGACACCCGACTGTGAGCAGCCTGGCTGACTGCGTAGACACCCGACTGTGAGCAGCCTGGCTGACTGCGTAGACACCCGACTGTGAGCAGCCTGGCTGACCGTGTAGACACCCTGTCTGTGAGCAGCCTGGCTGACTGCGTAGACACCCCAGCCTGGAGCAGTCCGGCTGACCGTGTAGACACCCGACTGTGAGCAGTGTGCCTGATCGTATAGACACCCCATCTCTGAGCACTCCCGCTGACCATGTAGATGGCCCATCTGTGAGAAATCTGGCTGACTGTGTAGATGCCCCGTCTGTGAGCAGTCTAGCTGACCGTTAGCCACCCTGACCAGAAGCAGCCTGGCCACAGGATGACCGGCCGTGTCTTCTGCAGCTGTGAACGACTTTCCCGCAGGAGCCGTGAGAAGGTCCTGGATGTTCTCGTGCCACGGGGCCAGAGCAGGGGTGCATCCTGCAGTCCTTCCCATGCACTATTTGCCAAACTGTGGTTTGCTGGTTTCCACGTGAGTCAACATTCCTGTACTTCACTCTTTTGGGTTACGGATGAGGTGGAACCTTCCTCCAGGTCTTTAACTCTGTGCCGTGAAGAATCCACTGAGGTCTCAGTATCTATGCAGATGGCCATGTTTTTTTTTAAATTTTGAAAGAACAAGTAATGGGCACAGATTTTGGATAAATTCAGGCCAACTGAGGGATTTAAGAGTCAAGGCGGGTTTACTACCCAGCCTCTTTCTCTTTAAAGACCCCCTTAGGGTTTTTGCTCGGTCTCCTCTTCCCTGAGTAGAGCTAACTCGGGGTAGGGGTGAAGCCAGCCTCTGTGAGGAGATACCTTCTATTCCTCCCTCCACCTGCCGGACCTCTGCTATTCTGCTCCTGTGGGCCTCTTCCGTCTGTTCCTGGCACAAGGGATCAGTAGGGAGCCTGATGCTGACCTGGCTGGTCTGACTGGTGGCCACTTGACCCTCTAGTGCTAGAGGTCCACTGAGACTGCAGGCTCATCCTCTTCCACGGTCCTGAGGATTTGTCAACAAGGCATCTTTTTGCTCCCTGTCTCCTCAATCAGGCCTTGAGATCTTGAGTAGAATGAATGATGTCTGAACTGACCCCTGCACCCCTCTTGGGGCCTACAGGGATTTGCTGGTGCTTCAGATCATCAGCCCTTGTGCCCAGCCCAGCATGCAGGCATTCCTCTGTGTGGACACCTCTCTCCAAGGGAGTCAGCACGGTGCTAGGTACTGGACCCTCCAGTTCCCACCAGTTAGGGTTGTGCTGCTCCCCAGCTCACCTTTAACCTGCATGGGCAGGGGCCCAGGTGTGGGCTGGAGCTCTAAGCTTTGTGCAACCACTCTCACCCCCCGGGCCCAGGCGTGGAGGGCTCTTCACTGTGGGGAGGGTGGGGCTGCGGGGCAGGGGAGGGACGTAGAGTGTGCAGATCCACATTCAGACACCTCTCAGGTGCTTTGAACCTGGAATTTGAGAATATGCCTTTATTGTTTGCTTCCACTGGGGCAGAGCTCCAGTCTGGAGTGGTCTCTGGGCTCCGAGGAAGAGGAGAAAACAAACTGGTCTCTAGGTCATGACACAAACATTTTATTGATTATAGCAATTGGCCTTTGTCACGCGGAACACAAGCAACCGATCCTACAGAAGAGGGTTCCTGGGGTGCCGCAGTCCACCTCCGTTGAGGGACTTGTGGGCCATTTCTTGGCAGAAAGGGGTGGCGGCATGTTCGAATCCCCAGTAGGCAGCAGCTGTGTGTCCACCGAGGGGCCGAGGGGTGGTCCTGGTGCCCACAGAGGGGCGTCAGGGCTCCTGAGAGAGGACATTTGTGCCCAGGAACAAAGGTGGCAGCACCAGATGCAGAGGTTCAAGCTGGTTCAGCAGCAGGACTTCTGGGCCGAGGCGGGCACGCAGCAGGCCTGGCGGGGGCCCACGGGCCGGCAGAGCAGGGACACGCAGGAGGAGGGTCTGCAGCAGGACGAGGAGCAGGGGCTGGGCCGGCTACAGGAGGGGGCTGAGCAGGGGGAGGCCTCGCAGCAGACAGGGGTGCAGCAGACGGGCTTGCAGCAGACAGGGGTGCAGCAGAGAGGCTTGTAGCAGGCAGGGGTGCAGCCGACGGGCTTGCAGCAGACAAGGGTGCAGCAGACAGGGGTGAAGCAGAGGGGCTTGCAGCAGGCAGGGGTGCAGCAGACGGAAGGACCACAGGCTTCCTGGCAGGGGGAGGAGCTGCAGCAGGAGGGCTGGCAGCTAGACTGTTGGCAGCATGAGGAGGCCGAGCAGGGGGAGGCCTGGCAGCAGACAGGGGTGCAGGAGACGGGCTTGCAGCAGACAGGGGTGCAGCAGACGGGCTTGCAGCAGACGGACGCGCCGCAGGCCTCCTGGCAGGGGGAGGAGCTGCAGCAGGAGGGCCGGCAGGAGCTGGTGCAGGCTGATTGGCAGGGGCTGGACCCGCAGCTCACGGGGGTGCAGATGAGGGTCAGGCAGGAGGCCGGGGTGCAGCCGCTGGACTGGCAACAGCTGGGGGTGCAGCAGGGGGCCTCGCAGCAGCTCTCTGGGCAGTCGTCCACCTGCCAGGAGGAGTCGGGGCAGGAGTCCCAGGAGCCGGGCAGGCAGACGCGGCTGCCGTAGCTCAGATCGTTGGAGCAGACGGACAGGGTGGACGCGGCCATGGCGGGGGCGGTGGGGCTGGAGGAGGGTGTGACTGTGAGTGGGAGTGGGAGTGTGTGAGTGTGTGTGAGTGTGTGAGGTGCTCGGGCTGTCTGTCGGCTTTTATACCCTCCAGCGTATTGTCCCAGGCGTCGGCTCACCACGCCTCCCTTCCTTGTTGGTCTGAGAGCTGGTTACAGGGAAGACCTCATTAGCGCCCGCTTATTTTCTACAATTAGTTTTTACTCAGTAAACTGGTGAGTCTGTTGCAGGACTCTGTTTTCCTGTCGATTCTTTGTTGGGCTCCAGAAAACTTGTGGAAAATATTTGAGGCAGGTTTTGCTGAGGGACTACCACGGTTTCTAAGGTCACATTCTTGCAGGGGCTGGTGTGAGATCGGGATCCCTCACACCAGCCACACCGGTGTGTGAACACTCGGGAAGGACTCCCAGGGCCATTGCAGGTCCAACTGTAAAGCATCTACAAGGAATATCAGGAGGGTAAGAAATGCACAAAATAGTAAACCTTGAACAAGGAACACACGCAATGTGTGTGCACTGGGGACCCGAGACAGTCATGGGCCAGAAACTTAGGGCGGTAGAATCCTCCCCTTGCCCCCTGATCCGTCATCATTGGTGTCATTTCAATCAAAACCCAAAGGGATCTTTTTGGCACATAAATTGAAGATACTGGACGGCCAGAAAATATGGGTAGGATGCATGATGGATGAAAGGTTAATATGAAATTTAAAAGTCCTTACAAACAAGGCAGGAGAGGGTACAAAAGAATCAAATACAAAATCGAAAACATTCAAATTTCCAATAAGCATCTGGAAAGCTACCTGAGTTCATTAATGAAGTTTCTCAAATTAAAACATAAATGTCCCACCTGTAAGATCAGCCAAAATTTACCATGTTAATAATTTCCAGTGCTGCTGAGCGTGGGGGCCTCACCCCTAGAAACCCCCAGCAGGCATGATTTTTACAAATGAACCCATAATATATAAAATTTATGATTTTACCCATTTTAAAGTGTACAAGTCAGTGGCATTTAGCAAAGTCACAATGTTGTGCAACCATGACCACCATCTAGTTCCAGAACATTCTCATCACTCCAGAAGGAAATCCCGAACTATTAAGGGGTCCCTCTGCAACCCCCATCAGTCACTAATCTGCTTTCTCTCTCTATGGATTTGCCTCTTCCACACCTTTCACATGTAAGGAATCACACAATACATGGCCTCTTTTTTTTTTTTTTTTAAGATTTTATTTATTTATTTGAGAGAGAGAGAATGAGAGACAAAGATCATGAGAGGGAGGAGGGTCAGAGGGAGAAGCAGACTCCCTGCCGAGCATGGAGCCCGATGCAGGACTCGATCCCGGGACTCCAGGATCATGACCTGAGCCGAAGGCAGTCGCTTAACCAACTGAGCCACCCAGGCGCCCCACAATACATGGCCTCTTGTGTCTGACTCCGTTCTCTGAGCATGAAGTTGTAGCGCCTGCCTGTGCGTCACTACTGTTCCTGGCTGAGTAATGTTCCAGCCAATGGGTTCACCACATTTTATTTCTCTGTTCCTCAGTCAGTGGACATTTGGGTCGTTTCCACCTTTTGGCTGTTGCGAATAGTCCCGCTATGAACATTCTTGTACAAGTTTTTTTTGAACGCCTCTTTTCAGTTCTTCCAGATGTATTCCTAACAGTGGCATTGCTGGATCAGGTGGTAACTCTATGTGTCACTTTTGAGGAGCTCCAGACTGCTCTCCAGCCGCCGCACCACATTACACTTCCAACGGCAGGGTACGATGTTCCAGTTTCTCCACATGCCCCCCACCACTGCTTCTGTTCTCTTCTTTCTCCAAAAAAAAAAATGCAGCCACCTAATGGGTGTGAAGTGGCATCTTCTTGTGGTTTTGATATTCCCTGATGCCCAGTGGGTTTTGGGCTTCCTTTCAAGTGCTCGTTGGCCGTCTGTGTATCTGCTTCTGGAGAAATGTCTATCCAAATGTTTAGCCCATTTTTTAATCGGGTTGTTTGTCCTTTCATTGTTGAGTTACCAAATTTACGCATTCTGGACACTAGGCCCTTATCAGAGTTACAATTTGCAAATATCTTCCCCATTCTGTGGCCTGTCTTTTCACTCTCCTGATAGCATCCCTCGATACACAAAGCTTTTAAATTTTGGTGAACTCTGACTTGTGTATTTTTTTGTTGCTGTGCTTTTGGTGTCATATCTGTTGCCAAATCTAAGGTCATACAGATTTACCCCTACGTTTTCTTTTTAGAGAATTATAGCGTTAGCTCTTATGTTTAGGTCTTTGATCCGCTGCGAGTTGATTTTTGTGTATGGTGTGAGGTAGGGTTCAACCGTTGGTCTTTCTCTTCTCTGATTTTTGGCAGCTCTTAAGTATTAGGGATACAGCACATTTTCTGTGGTACTAGTTGTGAATATTATTTCTTAACTTGTGTTTGTCTTATACTTTCCTTATGACATTATCATTTCATATCTAGCTATCTAGCTATCATCTATCATCTATCCATCTTAATGTAGAACAAAGGGAACAAAAATAACTGAAAAATTCTACAGTTCACTGATGGTTTTGTCTTTCCCATTTTAATTTCAGTTTCTTTACCATACAACCAAACCCTTTACCCAGTAGCTGGGTGTTGTGAAAGGAATGTGTGAAAATTAATAAAGACAAATCTCACTAAAATGGAGTAGGGGGGCTGGCAGGGGGCCTGATAGCCCTACCACTCATCTTCAATTGCAAAGCCAACAGGAAGAGCACCTTGCTCGAAGCTACTACTTTATTACCCGGGCAGGAGGAAGTTTTCTTCCTCCCAGGGCAACAGCCCAGCCAATGAGGAAAGCCCCTACGCTTCCAGCTCCCAGTTTACTGCAATGGACCTTCTGTTTACAACAGTGTTTCCCAAACCTCACCCCACCCCCAATCCCCTATAAAAGCGCCTCCTCTCTTCTATTCTAGCTTGTCCCAGATTGCAATTCTTTGTTATTCCCAAATACACCCATCTTTTGCTGGCAAAATAACTAGCAGTTTTATTTTTAAGGTTAACAAGTGGAAAAAAAATAAGTAATTGTTCACTGAATGGATAAATTCAGGAAGTGCTTTATTCAGAGTAAGAGAATCCAGTTCTCGTTCCTCACAGTGTCCCCCATGGGGACTGGAATCACTTTCTGTGTGTTTCTGATACTCCACCTGTGCAAGCATTGAACACCTACTGTATACAAGCATGGTCGTTGTGGCCAAGGCCACTGGTGCAGCTCCCAGATGCTCTCCGACCCTGTCACCCCCCACACCTACCTGCCTCCTCTGACTTCTGTGAGGGTCTGCTTCTAACAGCAACCCCCCGCCCCCCTTCTCTCCTGGGAGGACTCTGCTGTCACCACACAGCCGAGTGAGTCCTCAGTGCCTGGGGATTTACGGCCACCGGCGCTCCCCCAGCCCAGCTTCCTTACTCTGAGCTGTGGGGGACACTCCAGTGCTCCCCATGGGATCAGGCTGGGACTTGACCTAAAGTCCCACCTTGTTTACCTTCTTCTGGTTCCCTGGTCTGCCTGCCCCACTCCTGGACTTGCTCTTCCTGGAGGTTCTTCCTGAGTCCACCACTCATGCCTGTGTCCCCGCTTCACTCCCGGGGCCATGATGGGGACGAGACGTGACCGTGTGTGGAGAGCACCATGCCTGCTGGTGCAGTGTCCAGAGGGGGAGGTGCTCCCCCCATGGCAGCCTCTGCTGTCTGGCTAGCCTCCTCAGCACCCACTGGCCCTGCTGTGCCCACCCCACCCTGTTCCCCTCCCCATGACCGAGCTCGGAGCTTTTCCCACGACTCCACTTCCCTGGCCTCGCCTTTCATCCCGAGCTTCCCCTTTCAGGGCTCAGATAACTTCATCTTCTTTTCAAACCTCCCCCCGTCTCCTTTAGCACTGGCTGGCACTTCTCCTTTCTGAATCCCAATGCCCTCTGCCGCATCATGCCGGAGTTCATAATTGGGGATTGTCTTGGTTTTGAAATTTATTTCATGCTTATAAATCTGGTCTCTCCAACATGATAGCCCACGTCAAGATAAGTAACTATTTCATTGACTCAAGGCCACATTCTAACATCTCTGTAGTTGTTATTTTTGCTGAGAGGTACATAAAGTCATGGGGCATTTTACTACTTTTTTAAGATTTTATTTGTTTATTTGAGAGAAAGTGGGGGAAAGGGGGAGCAGGAACACAGGGGAGGGGCCGACGTAGAGGGAGAAGCAGACTCCCCACTGAGCAGGGATCCTGATGCGGGACTGGATCCCAGGACCTGAGATCATGACCTGAGCCAAAGGCAGATGCTTAACACCCTGAGCCACCCAGGCATCCTGCATCGTTACTATCGGTTGAGATCTGAGTCTTGATAAAATGTGACCTGTCTAGGATGTGTGCGTATTCTTCAGTACTTTGTCCCAAACGGGCCCACTCTGAGCATCACACACCTTGTGATGCGAATTACCTGAAATCCTCACGCTAAACCAAGATGCTTAAATTATTAGGATATCACCACATTTCTTGTGGGGTTTCGAGTGCAAATAAGAGTCCTTTCCCTCAAGCCAAAAGCAGCCCCTTTTCTCAGTGAAACAAGCATTGAGCACCTACTGTATACAAGCCCCATGCCTTGAGCCAGAGATTCCAAGCAACAGCATGGCCCTGACTTCCGCAGCGGGTACAGCCCAGTGGGGCCGACCTCTGTTGTGTAGAGAAGAAGAAGCCTCAGCCTGTCTCCTCCATCTCCTGCCCCCAAGCTGGGCTAGGAACAGTCAAGGTTGTCCACAGGAGTAATAGAAATAAGAAGTGCTGATCGTAAGTAGGAGGCGCAGATAGAATGCCCCCCACTGCTGGGTGGGAAGGCCAGAGCAGGGCTGCTAACATGGGTGTCCACAGCAACAGGACCTCACAGCAGTGGCTGGGCTTGGGTTTCCCTGGGAGACCGTCCCCAGGAAGCCCAGAGTGGCTCTTCCCGAAGGAGGCA